TATAAAATAAACTTGTTCTGGCAAGTTTAAGTACTCATTTAAATAATGATACTCCAACTTATTACAAACACAGAAGAATCACTGCCATTTTTACAGACTAAAACCTCAGCAGCTACTAAAGCAACAATGGGTTGTTTTAACTGATAACTTTTAAAAGTAGTGGTTTTTAAACTGTTTTCTCTTTCAGGGCTTCAGTGCTTATTACAGAGGTGGATTTGAACCCAAAATGACTAAACGAGAAGCAGCTTTAATCCTAGGAGTGAGGTAAAAGGAAATTTATTGGAAGTGAGAGGTGAAGAGGAGGCTGTGGTGTTTCCTAGCTGCAGGTCTTGTGTGTGGAAGGGATGTCATCGTCGGTGCTGAAGAGTGTCCTATGCCCAGCATCCCCTGGGAGTGTCACTGCCAAGTCAGGAAATTGGAAGTGTCCTTTCAAGGTGTTCTGTGCTTGTGGAGAATTCTTTGCTGCACATTAGCTTGCTTGAAGCTAACTCCACCTGGACTTCCAGACACCTGCAATTCCCTAGCACATTCAAAAGCCACGTGCAGGTCCAAATAAGCCAGAAAGCCTTGGGGTTCACTTAAGTAGCACAATTGTGCTGTTTGCTCATGGTTTCTGTCGCTGCTGGGGAAGTTCAGGTGGATGCAGTGTGAAGGTGCTGCATCTAGATGTCTTTTAAGACTTTAGATAATTTTAAGAATTTAGCAACTTCCAACTGTGAAGTTTGTTCTTTGATTTTTGTGTTTTGGTTAGGTTATTGTAAATAAATCAAGAGCAAATCTTACTTTTTTTTCTCTCCTGTCTTCAGAAGGTTTTCCCCAATAAAAATATTACATCATAGTTCTCTTTCTTCTCTGTGGAAGAGAAGTATATGACTGCATAGAATGTCTTTGTCAGCATACAGTGTTGTGGAAAAACCTTAGAAACCCTCTCTGGGACTTCCACACTACACAGCAATAGTAGGAAAAGACAAACACGCGTTAGCCAAAGAGTTTATGGATAAGACAGAGAGTTCACTTGTTCTCAGGTGTCTTTTGAAGATCTGGGGGGTTTCATGGTTCCCTTAAGTCAGTTTTTCTTTCTCTTTTAAAGTCCTACAGCCAACAGAAGTAAAATTAGAGAAGCTCATAGACGGATCATGCTTCTGAATCATCCAGATAAAGGTAAGCAAATTAAGTCATGTTGATTAATTAATACCTGTTTTTAACACAGATTAATAGAACTGTAGGGAAGAAGTGAATGATACATGACTACCTCACCTACTAAAAAAATCCACAGAAAACTGAGTGAAAACAGATTTTAGGGTGCCTTAATCTGTGTGGGTTTGGAGCATATTTTTGTGTGCGAATGTTTTAAAAGCAAGCAGACAGATTCAGCAGGTTGGTTTGTTACTTGCTCTGTTTTCTGTGAATATCAGATTAGTTATTATGATTTGTTAAAATGAGACTTAAAATCCCCTTAGTTTTAGATGAAAGCCCAGAGTGTACTTGTGCACTTTATGTACCACATGTGAGTTTGAGTTCAGGTCAGTCCCTTGAGAATTCACCATAAATGGCAAATACTGAGCCTTATGCAGCTGCTGAAGACATTAAACTATGAAATCTTCCTGTTTGTGGTTCTCCGAAGGCTCAGAATCTAGCTGTGCTGAAAGTTAGTAACTCGAGGCATCTATACCTGTTCTAAATTCTGTTCAGTGAGTCAGAATCATGTGTTGGTGCTTGGCATCTAACTTCTTAGTTGTCACATAAAAGGTAAAATGGCTTCCCTTAAAGTGACTGTTGAATTCATTACTTCTATGCACCAAAATAATCCTTGGGATATGCCATTCATAGATAATATCAAGTGGAATTTAACTTCAGAATTGACTTTACCAAATGCATGCAGAACCTAAAAATAGCTATCCAGACAACATGACCTACAGTTAAATTAAGCTCCAAGTAAATAGAGTAATTATAGTACAATTAATGGTAGCTGCTACACAGTGGTTGCACCTCACGGGCTGTAAGTTTTGGTGCATTTGCACTGTGGATTCTGTGTCTGTGGCTTTGTTGCCATTTGTTTGTCATGTTTAAAAGCAACCAGTTTGCCCTTCAGCTGGTAGAACTCTCAGACCATACTCTCCTGTTGTTTTTTTATTCTCCCTGTGCACTGTGGCATTATTAACACAGAAAAAAGGTGTTAGGTTTTTATCATCTGATGCAAGGTTTTCTTTCTTCTAGGTGGTTCTCCATATGTAGCAGCCAAAATCAATGAAGCTAAAGATCTACTTGAAGACCAAGCTAAAAAATGAATAGAAAAAATCTCTCATTCAGAGGGCTTATCCCTGCAAATGATTATTTTTGATACATGGCTTAAGAAAAGTTTTAATGTCAGTCTTTCACTTAATATAAATGAAGATGGAAATGTGAATCCAGGGAGGTACTTCCCTCTCCACTCAGTCACTTTTTATGGGAAATGTTTGAGGGAATGAGGATTAAAGTTTTTTTTCATAGCTGCCCTTTATTAAACAGCAAAATCCACCACTCAGAAATATTTTGAGTGTTAGAGAGCAATAACTTGGTGTGGCCAGTGCATGTTACCAGGCATGGGTAGACTTACATGCTGTTACCTGATTTCTGTTAAACTAGCCATGTTTAAAGTGCTGCTGTTCTTCATCTGCCAAAGTGTTAGCACAGGGAACTGGTCTGGGAAGGGGGTGGGGAAAATCGAGAGGATTTGGTGGGAAGAGCTGGGACAGATGTGTGGTTGTGTCTGACTGAAGAAATAAAGAGCAGGAAACAATGTGATCCCTTGTCTTTGCCTTGTGAAAAACAAGGTTGGTTGAGCTTTTTTAAGCGTTACTGATGGGTCTGGAATGTCCCAGACTTTTTTTAGTAACTGTTAGTTTTTGATGAATTTTATAGCATTTAATAAATTCCATATTTGTAGTGGAAGTACTGTAGTGCTATACCTTGTCATACACCACAAAGCTAGGACTCCCACAGTAAGGTTTCAGTTTATACTGACTAGGAAACAGGAACTCTATATGCAGACCACTCTGAACTCAAGCTGGATTTGTGCTGTATGAAGCCTCACACCCCCCAGCAGCTCTTTGCAAGGATCTCAGTGGGGTCTTAGGAGCTCTGTCATACTCTTAAGAATCTTCCCAGTGTTTCTGCAACTACAGTAAAACCACTGCACAGTAGCTGTGGGAGTTAACACCCACCTGTTCATAAACACAGTGATTCTGAGAGATTTTATTTTGCAGAACCTGTACCTGAGAGTGCTGCTGGAAGCACCTCATCCTGTGTGTGAGCACTGCCTGCTGCACCACTACATTGCTGTGGACTAGCTTTAGGACATTTAGGAAGGATTACCAAAACAGTAAGGAAGAGTTCTGTGCCTTCAGGGGAGTGGAACGAGTAGGTAATACTTAGAGCCTAGTGCGTGAGTGACGGGGAGCAACTTTGCTTTGCTACAAAATTTAAAGCAGAGTGAAGGACAGATGGAACACCATTGTCCACAGTCCCAGAGTGCACATTCCAAGCCATACTCAGAATGTTTCTGTACTGAAGTTTTCCCCTGCCAAATACTACTGACTTTTTAACATAGCTCTTTTTAGCTATGCTGGGGTTTTTTTTCCTCCACTCCTGTGCCTGTCTGATCAGCTGAGATGCTTGTGCACACTTCACTTAGGCAGTTAAATTCTTATATGTTCTCTGGGAGTGCACATTGTTGTCAAGGGTCCTGCACTACTGTGATACTACAAACTGCACATCTCCTTCACTGACAGACCCAGGCCTGGCTGGGACAGCTCGGCTGTAGTTCCATCAGGTAGAGCAGCTGGAGGCAGAGGTGGTTCAGAACACTTGTTTTTGTCTTTTCTCACTTCTGCCAAAGTCAGGTAAGATAATACTTTTCATTCAAGTCAGCACAACTTGAGCACTACCATCTGCTGTGACTTCTTACAGCAACTCCTTGCTACCCAGATGTTTTTCCACACCTGTTTTCTGCTTCATTGCTCTGGATCGTGTGCCTGAAAAGACAGGTTTGTGTGTCAAGCTTTAACTTTTCAATCAAAAACTACATCTGCATTAATACCTATATATGTTAGTCAGGTTATGTGATTCTCCAAGATAAGGAGTTTAGTTTTAGACTTAACTACTGTTTGACATCATCACCTTCAAGAAGGGAAGATTAGCATGTTAGAAACTCTTACAAAAGAGTTAAAAGGTTCAAGCTGCCTCTCAAGAAACTCTTTTGAGTTAAAAGGTTCAAGCTGCCTCTCAAGTAAGTTTCAATTGTTAGTTAACAGCTTGAAAACCTTAGAGTCAATAGTAATTTAAATTTCTGATAGAAACAGTCAACAGATGGAAGATCAAAGTTTATTTTCTTTTACTACCAGCATACAAAAAAAACATATTGCACATCAAACAACCAAAACAAAAATAAAAATACTCTTGAGTTAAAAGGTTCAAGCTGCCTCTCAAGTAAGTTTCAATTGTTAGTTAACAGCTTGAAAACCTTAGAGTCAATAGTAATTTAAATTTCTGATAGAAACAGTCAACAGATGGAAGATCAAAGTTTATTTTCTTTTACTACCAGCATACAAAAAAAACATATTGCACATCAAACAACCAAAACAAAAATAAAAATACTCTACTAAGGACTAACATATGTAGTTTATACAGAATAAACTTTCTGGAAATTGATCTTTTCAGTAGTTCAGGTTATGTCTTAATGGACATGACTAATTCAGCTTAGTGTTAACTAAAGCTATGTTTGATTTTTAAATACTGTACAGTTTAATAAATAAACCAAACAAAGCCTCAATGTAGAACAGTCACTGCCAATGTCACCCAGTATCCCTGCAGATTATGAGAATTTAACAAATGTATTCCAGTGGTCTGCAGATTTTTCCTCTACATACAGCATTTAAAAAACATGTATTAAAACAGACCAGTTTCCAGACTAAACTAATGGAGAAATTACATTTCAGTGCAAAATATTTTAGACTGCATTTCTTTCTAGTATTCCTCAGGTGAAGAAGTGGTTGCATATTATTAAAAATGTAACAAAAGCAGCTAATGCTTTCATAAAGAGTATTATGTTAGGGATCCCCCTCACATCTTTGCCGTATTTTGAAAACAAAATAACATTTCCTATAGCCAGCAATTTTGTTTATTTAAATGTTACATATACTATCTCAAGGCACATCTGATGATATATTTATAACACAGTAGGTGTCAAAGTATGTTTAACATATGATTTCTTCAGGATCCCTCCCCTTTCTGTATTCCAAAATGGAGGAACTGAAAGTGCGGTGTCAAGACTGGCGATCCATATTCTATCTTTGGCAAGCTTATACAAGCACTATTTTAAATGTAATGTAAAAGAACTGTAAACTAGGAACTTCAGTTTATGAAACACCATTCAGCACTGCTTCTTCCTGATTATTTCCATCCTCCTGAACAGTGACTTTCTTTTCATCAGGGCTGTGCTGTAGTTTAGAAGGCTCATCCCCAGAAGTGGTGGCAGGACCATTCACTGCCTTTTCAGAAGGGCTGTTTTCCTCGATCGCTTCTTTTGCCTTGCAGAAACAGAAACAGAATAATATTAAAAATCCTATAAAAATACAGTGTAACCTAAATTTTCCTCTGGCTCACACAACAGCTTTGCAAGAGGAGATACCTCTTGTCAGTCTGTGCCTGTATCCTGTCATTTAGCGCATCCTATTACTTACCTTGTCATTTATAGGATACTTCCACTTCCAAGGAAATCATGTCAAGGTAGCCCCAGGACTGCACACCCCCAGCACACGCAGAATGCTTTTTTATTTCAATTTGTCTAAGCCCATGAAGGAGTTAACTGAAGAGCTGAGTTTTAGACCCCTGTCAATGTCTACAGTAAGATCAGACTTTGTTAATGGATCTTTCTTTTGCTGAACTCAGACGTGGCAACACATTCAGTGTTACTTCAGAAAAATTCTGCTTTATTCAGTTCTGATTATTTTTCAGGATATGTAATGCATCTCTGATCCTTTAAGGAGAAAAGATCTCAAATCTACACCCTCTGTGAAATTAATTCCTTCTAACATACTTTGTACAAAATGCCACCTAGTATCCTCCATCCATAACATGTTTTAAGGATTAGTTCTCAGGACTCACCATGGACAACTTTCACATTTTGTTATGTAATGCAACATTACTCTAAGTGTAATATTTTAAAGTGCGTACAGACTTAATTTGAGCACTACCCTGGTCCCTAAAGTCTGCAAGGACAGTCTACAAGTCAGTTCTGTTTACTCTGGGCCCTTTTTGCTTTGAAGGATTTATGCTTGAACTCAAATGCATTAGTAGTCAAATGATGAGCCAACTGACACCTTCATTCCTTCACTGTTCTGCTGCAAGGGGGGAGAAAAAAGGAACATTATACATTAAAAAAAATCTTACCGTTTCCTTCTTGGTTTTGGCTAGTGTCTCCTTTGGAGGGTTTCTCTGTCTACTCTGAGATTCAGCTCGTGATATATAATCAGCTACTGTTACTGTTCAAGGAAAAAAATCACAGTGATGCTCACATCAGCAGTCAGTTCAGCATTTATCTGCATGTCTTTGTTGCACAAGTTATGTTCTAACTGGGAGACATCTCACAAAAGGCCTTCACACTTACAGGTTATCAACCACACAGCAAGGATCAATTTGTTTCTGTTGTTCGATACAATTTTCACTAAAATCAGTGGTAATGTGATGATCTGGAGGTGGACTCTTCATAAAATAGTAATTTTGGTCCAATTGCAAATTCTATTGGAAAAGAAGGGCTTTCTGTACTAGGTTTGAAGTTCTTTGAACTACAGACTCTGTTTTCAGAGGGGTTTTACTAGTGTGAGCAGTGAAGAGTTTCACACTAATAGAAGAAGGCAAGTTAAAATGTGACCAGAACTGGGGGAGGCTGAGCTCTGTGCCAGTTGCACTGAGGCAGCACTCAAAACCTGTTACGTCATGAAGTGACTGAGGAGAGACCTCACTCTCCTCCTGGTGCCCAGAAGGCAATCAGCACTGTTACCTGGCTGGGGGGGTGGGTGGATCCTGGGGGGGTGTGTGTACACTCGTGGTGCTGCCTGGGCCAGCCCTGCTCAGGAGCAGCACAGCCCTGCCTGGGCCATTATAGCTGCACTTACTGGGTGCTGGCCAGGGGTTCTCTGACCTTACGACCTCAGCACATATTCCTGGAGTCTGGTTTTGTCTGACCCTGCCCTCCTGTAACCACACCAAGAGTCAGTTCTATCTTTAGAATACAGAGTACTGTGAATTT